TGACTTTCTCAAAGTCACACAGCTCGATTAGGAGAGGAACAGGTTCATCGATTTTCCCACAATGCAGTCCTGACCTCTGGCTGTGACTGGTCTCTGAAGTGTAGACCCCAGTGCAGATGCCTCCATCACATCACTGACCTGGCTGGGAAGAAGTCGGAGCAAAGCATTCCCCATGCACAGGAATTACTTCAGTCCATTACTTCAGTCCATGTACACACATTCTCCACAGATTGACTGAAGCTCCCCGTAGACCACAACCAGCCCTGGGGTCTGGAGAGGGGTGTGCTGCCTCACAGAGACTGGGCTTGGAGGAGGCTGAGAAAGGCAGGAAGAGGGGCAGCAGAGGGAGCAGAAGGGAGGGACTGAGAAACCCAAGAGAAGAAGATAAAGAAGAGAGGAAACAAGAGAGAAGGAGGGACAGAGAGTCAAAGAGGAAGTCAGGCAGAAGGAGGAAGGAAGAGGAGAGAAGGAAGTGTAGAGGAAGATGGACAGAGGAAGACCTGTGGAGGGCCCTGTGGTTTCCTCAGTTGCCTGCCTGTCTGGCCAGCTCCCAGAGGGCCCTGTTCCTCTGTGGGTCAGGGCTTCTTACCTTTTCGTGTGTCTACATGGGGCTTCTAGCATCCGGCAAATGCAGCGCCCTCATCTTCTCTGTTTGGTCAGAAAGTGACCCGCCTTCAGCTCAGTGGGTAACATCAGCTTCTCTTCAGGTGGACAAAGCTTGACCAGGACATGGGGCACTTTGGTGGCAGAGCTGGATTTGAACTCACAGCTGCTGTGGGTTGACCCCTCCTAGGGAAGCTTTCCTGGTAAGCCACTTCTTCAACTGTGGACTGTGAGTCAGGAGAGTGCCTTTCTGGTTCCTAGATCTGCAATAAAATAAATGAGTGACCTTAGTCAACTTTACTGACTTCTCTGGATCTGGGTGTCCGCATGTGTACAATGGGTCAGATGACAGGCATATCCATCACTGCCAACCACTTACTAGGTGTTAATCCCTGGACATGCTTCAAGTAATTCGGTGTTTATAGCCATTGCTATTTTATAGGACATAGGGATAGACACACTGTCAGCTCCAACTTGCAGGATCAGATTTTCTATAATAGGGAGTATGTCCAGGGAAAGTACGTTAGAAGTTAGACTCAATAGAAATCTACCAGCTAGAAATGTCCTCCAGCCTTACGGTCTCTTCCTCTTCATTATCCTAACCATCCCCAACATCCACGAATCCCTATGGTTCATTTATTTTCTCTCCTAGTACTTAATGAGCACATCCCATGATCTGGGAATGCTACAGTAAAAAATAAAACAAACAAAAATGATGATAAAAAATAAAGAAAGGGAGGTAGGGAGTGTTGGGGACAGGTAGAGGTGTGCTACAATTTTTAAAGGGTGACAAAGGAAGACCTCACTGCAATGGTGAAATTTAGGCCATAATCTGAATGAGGCAAAGGAGTGAGTCATGTATTTATGTGCAGGAAGGGCGTCCAGAAGAGGAAGAGCAAGTGCCAAGACCAGGACGCAGGTGTTTCCTGGTGGTTTTGAAGACCAGCAAGGGACCGTGTGGCTATGGTAGAGAGAACCTGGGGCCCAGTGGCACTCCTGCCCTGAGAAGGTGGGGGAGGCTCAGACTGAGAAGGGGCTGTAGGCTGTATCAGTGCTGTATTGCCGGGTTGCACAAATGTAGCAGCTTCAAACGACACACACCATCTCACAACTTCTGCAGGCTGGAAGTCTGGGCACAGCTTAACTGGATTCCCTGTAAGGTTGCAGTCAAAGTTTTGGGCAAAGCTGGGTTCTTTTTTTTTTTTTTTTTAATGTTTATTCATTTTTTGAAAGAGAGAGAGGTGGGGGAGGGGCAGAGAGAGAGGGAGACACAGGATCGAAAGCAGGCTCCAGGCCCTGACTGTCAGCACAGAGCCCGACACAGGGCTTGAACTCATGAATCACAAAATTGTGACCTGAACTGAAGTCAGACGCTCAACTGAGCCCCCCAGGCGCCCCAGAGCTGGGTTCTTATATAGGGTTCAACTAAGGGAGGATCTGCTTCCAAGCTCATGTGGCAGCATTCAGTTGCTTGCAGACTGCTGAATGGAAGCCCTCAGTCAACTGGATATCTACTGGAGGCATCTCTTAGCTCCTTACTGTGTGGCCCTCACCATATGGCAGCTCCCAACAAAGAATCCTGCTTCTTCAAAGCCACTAAGGGAGTCAGGGCCCTGGCAAGACAGGTGTAGAATCTTATGTAATATAATCATGGATACATAATCACATATAAACTGTCACCTTTAGTGAACTTTATCAATTAGAAGCAAGGCACAGGTCCTGCCCATATACCTGAGGAAAGGGGATTATGCAATGGTGTGAATACAAAGAGGTGGGGGTCATGGGGGTCACCTCAGAGTCTGTCCACTTTGCCCTCTGTCCCCCAGTGACTCATGTCCGTCGCATTTGCAAAATAAATTCATGCCTCCCCCCCAAGATCAAAGTCCAGAAACTCATCTAAAGCAGGTTTAGGTATAGATGAGCTTCCTTTAGGTGTTCCTCTTACTTGACTTGTAAAACGAAAGATAAAAGTTATCTGCCTCTGGGGTGCCTGGGTGGCTCAGTTGGTTAAGCATCCAACTCTTCGTTTTGGCTCAGGTCATGATCTCACAATTCGTATGTTTGAGCCCCTCATCAGGCTCTGTGCTGACATCTCAGAGCCTGCTTGGAATTCTCTCTCTCTCCCTCTCTCTCTCTGCCCCTCCCCTGCTTGTGCCCTCTCTCTCTCTCAAAATAAATAAACTTTAATAAAAAACCAAGTTATCTGCCTCCATAAACATAACATACAATGGTGGGATAACAGCTATTGACATTCTTGTTCAAAAAAGGGTAATGTAGGAGGTACAAAGGAATCACTGGTTCACAGTAGTTCTGAAATCCAGATGAGCAAATGCTGGGTGTTCCCTGATTAGGTTTTAAGACCTGAGAATAATCCATGTTTCTTGGCTCTGCTTTCTGGGTACTGTCCTCTGGGTCATCCTTCCTTTCTCATGAAAGTTCATATGCATTTGCTTCTGAATAGGTTTTTTTTTTTTTAAGTTTATTTATTTATTTTGAGGGAGGAGGGGCTAAGGAAGAGGGAGCGAGAGAATCGCAAGTAGGCTCCACGCTCAGCACACAGCCTGTTTCCAGGCTCAATCTCACAAACCATGAGATCATGACCTGAGCCAACCTACTGGGGCACGCAGATACCCCATGTACCTGAGTAGTTTTACGAGCTTTTTTTCTTGCCAGCAGAATTTGGAAGATCCTACAGCCCCCTCTCATTTTGCACTCTATTCCTTATAGTTCAAGCTGGTGGTGCACTTGCTGAAACAGCTTTCTCAAAAACTGTGTGTGTCTTCTGTGGATTTCAGTGGGGTTTATTCCATTAGGCAAAAGCTATATCCCAGATCTTTGTGAGATAAGCCCTTCTCTACCCAGCTCCTGCTCAGATGGCCATAGGATAACTCACTTAAGCTTCCTCAAGGCCCCATGGTTAGATTAAAAGGTTCTGGGAGGCACATCCTTAATCTCTTGAAACAGTCCTTTGTGTGACTCAATACTACTCTGATCCTTTGATCTTCATGATGTTCTAACAAAAGATGGTGTCCTCACACCTTCTGCCTTTTTTCTAAACCAGTGTTTATTTATTCCATGTGCATGGAGGCCATTTCTTAATTTTAGCACCTTTTGCTATGTAAGGAGGCTGAGAATTTTCCAAATCAAGTCCTGACATTCAACAGTTTTTAAACCATTTTCCGCCTCAACTTATCTCTCTGCTCTCACATTTTACTAGAAGTAGCTAGAAGCAACCTGGCAGCACCTCAGTGTTGTGCTTGTTAATCTCAGCTATATTAACCAATTTATCACTTACATGTTCTATTTTCCACAGAGCTGCAGGAGACAATGTTTGTAAACTTTCTGCCGCTACCTAATGAGGACCCCTTCCTCCAGTTGCTATCAATAAAATCCTCACTTCCTTTTAATCCTCACTGGCAAGCCCTCCAAGTCCACACTGCTGCTAACAGTCAAATCAAGGCAATCCTGGCTCCTTCTACCACCTCCTCAAAATTTCTCCCAGCTCTGCCCACCACACCCTTCCAAAGCCACTCCCACATTCCTCCGTTTTTTTGTTACTGCAGCATCCCCGTTCCAGCACCAAAATCGGTATTCCTTGTTTATTGCTGTGCAATAACTTTACCACAAATTTACAGGCTATAAACACCACACATTTATTATCTCACAGTTTTTGGAAGGCAGAAGTCTGGGCTTGAGTGAACTGGGTCCTCTGTAAGGCAGCAGGAAAGATGTCCCCAGAGACAGGAAGGAAACCAGTGGTTTGCGGGAGGGGGGAGGCTGGGCAGGGGAGGAGAGAATGGGTAATGACCTCTGATGGGATGGATATAGAGTTTCCAGTGTGATGAAAATATTTTGGAACTAGATAGTGGTGATCGTTTAACAATTTTCTAAATATACTACATACCCACTGGATTTTATACCTGAAAAGGGCTAATTATATGGTATATTACATATTTTTAAAAATTATTTCTTTTTTTTTTTAATTTTTTTTTCAACGTTTATTTTATTTTTGGGACAGAGAGAGACAGAGCATGAACGGGGGAGGGGCAGAGAGAGAGAGGGAGACACAGAATCAGAAACAGGCTCCAGGCTCCGAGCCATCAGCCCAGAGCCCGACGTGGGGCTCGAACTCACGGACCGCGAGATTGTGACCTGGCTGAAGTCGGGCGTCGGGCGCTTAACTGCGCCACCCAGGCGCCCCTAAAAATTATTTCTTAAAATATTTTATTTTTATTTTTGAGAGAGAGAGAGAGAGAGAGCGTGAGCAAGGGAGGGGCAAAGAGAGAGGAGGATAGAGGATCCGAAGCAGGTCCCACACGTATAGAAGCGAGCCAGATGCAGGGCTCAAACCCACCAACTGAGAGATCATGACCTGAGCTGAAGTTGGCGCCCTTGTGAATTATATCTTAATTAAAAACAGAAAGTGTTGTCCAGGGCTGAGTTCTCATCCGGGGCCTGAATGGAGAAGAATCTGCTTCCAAGCTCACATGGCAGCATTCAGTTCCTTGCAGGCTGCTGGATGGAAATGGAAGGGCTCAGTTCTTGTGGAGGCAGACCGGAGGCTGCCTCAGCTCCTTGCTGCCCAGCCCTCTCGACCCTCTCCATATGGCAGCTTGTAACACAGCAGCCCACTTCTTCAAAGGCAGCCAGGGCTTGCCCCTGTCAACATGTTATTACAATTTTGTATTCTTATATAATGTAATCAGGTACATGTAGTCACTCCTGTCCTGTCACCTTTGCTGTATTCTCTTGGTTAGAAGCAAGTCACAGGTTCTGTCCACGCTCAAGGGGCAGGAGTTGCACAGGGCATGAACACCAGGCAGTGGGGGTCATGGGGGTCACCTCAGAGGCTGTTCCCACATAGGCAATTTTAAGAGTCTAGGGCTTTACTCTCAAATAAGGGTTTTGAACCGAGGAATCACATGACCTACCATGCTTCAAAAGGACACCTCTGGCTGCCATGTTGAGAACAGATTGAAGGTGTCAAGAGTGGAAGCAGAAGACCAGTTAGAAAGCTACTGCAAAAAAAAAAAATGCAGATGAAAGATGGGCTGGGAGGCTGTTATTAGACTGACACAGACACGGTCCTCTTCCACTTCCTAGGGCTCCCTGGAACTTCCCCAGGGGATGAGGACAGTCCTCCCCAAGCAGGCTCTGGCCCCTCTGCCTCCCATCTCTCAGGGCCCATCCTCCTCTTTCCTTAAGGTCTCTTAAGCCCAGCACACACTGGTTAGTCCAATGAAGCGAACAGCAATTGGACTGTCATTCCATCTGTCAGCAAAATATTTGCTAAATGTCACTTGTAACTACGGTGTGATGTTAATACTGTGCCTACAAGGAGGAAGAAGCAATGATCCATGTGCTGGAAAAGCTTGTGGCCCAGTAATGGTTAGGCCACTATAGGTGGGACACACTCTGCCAGCACATGAACAAAGAATGGGGGAGGAGGCCACAGCGGCACTGAGGGGTATGGATCTAGGGGTATAGAGGTACCCAAGCCTCAGGATATAAACTAACAGACACGGCCCGCCTCCTGAAACACATTTTTTTTAAAAGACTTTTTACAGTTTATTTATTTATTTTTGAGAGAGAGCGAGCGAGCCGTGGAGGAGCAGGGATAAGGGGAGACACAGAATCCGAAGCAGGCTCCAGGCTCTGAGCTGTCAGCACAGAGCCCGGCACAGGGCTCGAACTCACGAACCAAGAGATCATGACCTGAGCTGAAGTCGGATGCTTAATGGACTGAGCCACCCAGGTGCCCCTTGAAACACATTTTTAACATAGCCACATCAAGCTGTCTCTGTTCTTCCTTCTTCCCCACCACCCTGTTCCTACCACCAGGCTATCTTCGGCCCTGTCCTAGAAAGCCTTCTGCCCTTCTTTACTAATTTTTCTCTTCCATCTGAAGCCAGAGTTAACAGCCTTTACATCTGGGGAGGAGCTGTTCAATAGAAATATAATGTGAGTTAGGGCACCTGGGTGGCTCAGTCAGTTAGATATCTGACTTTGCTCAGGTCATGATCTCATGGTTCGTGGGTTCGAGCCCCACATCGGACTCTGTGCTGACAGCTCAGAGCCTGGAGCCTGCTTCGGATTCTGTGTCTCCTTCTCTCGCTGCCCCTCCCCTACTTGCCCCTGTCTTTCTCTCTCAAAAAAAAAAAAAAAAAAAAATTAAAAAATTAAAAAAAAAAAGAAATATAATGTGAGCAAAATGTGTGACTTTGAAGCTTCTAGTAGCCACATTTTTGAAAGGTTTTTAAAAGTGAAATTAATTTTGGGGCACCTGCCTGACTCAGTTGGTGGAGCATGCAACTCTGGATTCTTGGAGTTGTGAGTTTGAGCCCCATGTTGGGCTTAGAGATTACTTAGAAAAAAAAATTGGGGGAAGAAAAAGTGAAATTATTTATATAATCTATATATCTAAACATATTAAAAATTATAAACGATAACTTGAAAATTTTCTTTTTTCAGGTTAAGTCCCAAAAGTTTATTGGTATTTTACACTTATACCACATTTCAGTTGGGATCCTCAATTTTTATTGGAAATACGCAGTCTGTATTTAGATTCCACAAAATTTAGGTTGAAAAAGTAAATTCACATACCCAGGTTGTCTCACACATTATTTAAGTTTTCCAATAACTGAATCCATTTTAAAATTAATGTTTAAGTTACTTAAAATTCAGTGCATTAACAGTTCAGTTCCTTAGTGGCACACACAAGCCACATTTCAAGTGCTCAATGCCCACAAATGACTGTTGTCTACCAGAGCATAGGCCTCTGCAGTCTGGGCCCCAGATCTACCACTCATCTTCTGCTTTCTCCAATCACCCAGATTTACCCAGACCCTCCTGTCCTCAGCATGTCCACCCAAACATTGAAACAACAGCCTCCCTTTCCCCCTGCACCCCCATCTCCAACCTGCGGGAGCCACCCATGACTCATACCCAATCCCTGGCTCTCCTAGCCCACTTTTTACCTGGTCCTTCTATCTGGATTATCATTTCTATGCATAAACATGAGCTTACCAGAAGGCCAATTTGCATAGTGATTAAGTGGATTCACACACTTTCAGGATCAGGAGGTATTCTCCCTACACTGAATTGGGCTCCAGAAAATTGGGACTTGCCTTCTTTGTCATCTACTGGAGAAGACAGGATTTCAGTACTTGCTTGGTTTATGAGATGGTAAGAAAGAAAAGCTGCCAGAGCCTGAATGGTAGTTGAGGGGGCAGGAAAGGTGGGTGCCTTGGGTGTGTGTGTGGGTGGGGAGAGGACATTTCACATATGATTTATTGTGTCAGAATGACTTGGTTGTTAAATAAGTACTTTAAGGGATTATTTCATCTTTCATACTTTAAAATTTTTATAATTTAGGTTATTCCCCCCCTCCACCCCCCACCGCTGGATTTTTTTCAAGCTTCAGATCTCTGCCTGGAATTGTCTTGATTTGCATAATCTCACCTCTGAGGATTTAGCTCCACCCCTTAGGCCCCCCTTCTCGCAGTGCCCCATGCAGAACCTCTGCTGGGTTCCCTTCCTGGTCTTCCTACTTAGTCTACCTTCCCTAGTCTTCCTACTTTGGGCAGCCACCCTGCTCTGGCCTCCTCCTCCCTGGGGATGAGCCCGGCTGTGCAGCCTGCTGCTGAGAGGCTGGGATAATCCTCCCTGAGCTATTTCAAGGATTAGTCCTGCTGCCCTATGTCCAGCTCCCACACAAGTGGGATTCCAGAGCTGTGGACACTGTGCCAGGAAAGGAGGGGTGCAGCTCCTGTAATGCAGATCCATGCAGGGCAGGGCACCAGGGTCCAGGGTGCAAGTTTCTTAGAGACTGTCGTGGTACGTGGAGTTCAGTGAGATGGACACTGGCAGCCTGTGACCATAAGTATGACTGAGTCTAAGAGCTGGAGACATGACAGCCCAAAACTCCAGGGCCTCAATCTGTGCCTTGAAACACACACACACACACACACACACACACACACACACACACACACACA